CATTGTACACCTCGCCTCTGCCTTCCTTCCCTCTGCATGTCCTGAGTTAGCCACGCTCAGTTTCCAAAGAGCGCTACCCTGAGTCCTGGGGCTGGGGCTGAGAACCTCAGTGCTCACCTTGGGGAAAGAAGTCACTGATAAGGATCTAGCCACTGAAAAGCCATGATTTGTCCACAGGAAGAACAGAACGTGTTGGTTGGTATTCTCTCTTTCCCAGGGATCATGGATTCAGTTCCTCAACATGAACTGTTTCTCTTTGCTTTTCTTTTATTGTGCTATTAATAGCAAAATTCTACAAAAATTTATATCAGCAGTTCTTATATTTTCAGTCCACTATGTAACATTTCTTATGAGTTTAAATCCTCTTGTGAGGGGGGATTTTTTTTTTTTTTTAAATGTTAGGTGTCTTAAAATTTTTTCACAGAGATGGGTCTTATTTACTACAAGGCAAACGAAAATTATTTACGAACAGTACATCATTTGACAGAAAATCTTTCTAATGTAAATTGTAAGTATGGCTGCCAGGAAAAAAAAAAGAATAATTTCTCTCCTTGCTGGATAAAAATAGGTCAAGTAATTTAAGCCAGTCCATTGCAATTAAAATTCTGACACTGCCATTGTCCCTTCTGTTCTAGGGGGAAAAGACAAACAGAACACATGATAATAGGGGTTCATTGGCTAAGTCACCTGATGTGCTACCTATTGTTCTCTCTCTTCCATCTGCCTGGGAGCTCTGATTGGGTGATGGCGGTGCAGTACCCAAGTGACAAATACTGTCCTGAAGCTGTGTGTCACACCTCCTCTGTCCATTGGAGAGGAGAAAGTTGCCAATGGCTTGGGCCCTAAATTCCTTGAATTCTGAACTGATTTATTTATCGGAGACAATGTTATCAGCCAAGTTTATTTTAAAGTAAATTTTACCCACTCAATTAGACAGTAACACTCATTCTCATTAGACATTCTGTGGCCCTTTTCACTAGGTTAGAGCCCGTGGTGGCTCAGTCACATTCCAACAGAGATAATGCCTCCTGCATTCCTACATACTTCCCTCCACCTTCCCTGCCTCGTGCCCTCAAATATGTTATTATTTGTGCTTAGCCCAAATCAACAGTTCTGTTGTGAGAGGGCAGAGTGTCAACTTGAACAGACAGGCCAGGGCATTGCCGGTTAGACTTTTAAAAAGAACAGCCTTAGCCAATGCATGTTTTAAAATAGGAGGCAAATCTCAATTATGCACAATTCATCATAGGTTAAGGGCTTTGGTGAGTAAAATACTCTCATTTTAATAAAGGGTGTTTATTTTGGAATTTTCTTTAATAAAAGGTTTGTTGCTCAAATATATGCTGTTCCTGTTAAGAAAGAAAATAAAGTCTTCAGAAATGATAAAAAACAACAACAACAACGAAACAATAAAACATAAAACAACTCCCCTTGAGCAAACAGCTTTCCTTTGACCTTCTAAATAAATGCCACAAGGGGGCGAACATACCTAATGGTCCAGGACTGCAAAGTTTATATTTCAAAACCAGCCACTCATAATAGATTAGTGGATTAATATTTTGGTCTAAAGGATCTGGCCTTTAATGTTGACATCAATTTATAGCTATCCCAGGAGCTTACAGTAGTAAAAGTCACGGAGACCATAAACTTCACAATAGATGTCAGCCTTCTGGTACCAGTGCTCTAGGCTAGCACCCCATAAACAGAGGTGATTAGGTAACTGTTCTTCAAAGAGCCATCCGTAGCTGTAACATCTTTATCAGCTCCAGCAAAGATACTGCCATCAGGATTTTAGCAGCCACGAGGCAGAGGCGCGCGTTTTTATGAATGTGTATTTATTTTTCTGTCATGTTTCTATGATGTTGCACTGGTTGCTTATCACTGATCTCTTCTTGAAAACCAAGCGTGGGGGTGTCTATTTGTGGGCACCGTGAAAAGAACAGAAGCACTCTTGTATCGTATTAGAACTTTTTGAAAAACAGCCAAGGTACAGAGGTCAAATTTCCCCATATGCTCTAAGTAACTTAGTAGGAAGCAAGACCACAAAAGGTTTTGCAAATGTCTGCCAGAAGCCCAGTGATCTAGGTCGCTGTACAGGTTTCATTAATCAGGGTGTTCAAACAAGGAGTTATTTTTCTCTGCCTGAGAGACCTGCAGATATATCACACAGAATCTGCTCAATTGTTGATCAAGAAAGAGTTTTAATGAAATAGAGATCATTCAAGTGAATGGGAGGGAGGGGCGGGGGTCATATCTGTGCTGAAGAGAAATTGTGCTTTCAACCCAGCTCCTCTGTTTGAGTCCTCTGTTCTGGCAGAGATGGGCTCAGGATCTAATAATAGTTCCTTGAGCTCTGCATCGCCACATACGTGTTCGGGTTAGAGCAGCAGGAGGAATTTAGTGACAGAGCAGGTGTTGTGGCTTATTCCCTGGCAGAATAAATGGTGGAGGGTGGTGGCCAGACAATTTTTTTGCTCCTTTCTTTATGTAAAAGAACAATGCCTCCAATAGGCTTTTTTTTTTTTTTTTTTTCCTGGCACAAGTGAAAAAGAACTAGAATTGCTATATTAATATGTATGCAAACATATTTTTTCACTTGAGCCTCTGGAAAAAAAAAAAAAGAAAAACTTACGGTGAAAATGCTTAGCCAGGAAGATTTTACTGCTGATTGCAGATTTAGTATTGACATGTCTTAGTTGAAGAAAACTTCAGCTTTAACTATTAATGTGGGAAACCTGGATGAGCTTTTAAAACGGGGTGGGAAGAGTTTTCAATGGCAGTGTATTTTCAGAGAAATTATTGAGAACATCGTTTTTTAATAGGAGGGTCAATTATAGTGGCGTGTGCATCTTAATTTTAATGGCCTGCTTTGGCAACCAAATTATGGAATGTAGGTGATCTGAATTATCCTGGAGTCAGTCTTTATGCAAGACCCACTGTTACTTAATGCTTCTACATACCCTTCTCTCCTTTTTAATTATAAAACAGTCTTAACGATTGGAATCTGTCTAAATAAAATGCCCTTTTAAAATAGTGAGCTTTTCTTCAATCCACATTTCTTTACTCCTCTAGTAGGTTAAATACAAAAGGACTTTCCCCCCCTCTCATTAATGTAGGTGTGTCACCCTCAGAAGATAAGCTTGGAAAACAAAAATTTTTTTCTCCTGCCAACAGAGACAATTGGAGGTTTTAACAATATTGCTTTTTCATTTGATTATTTTATATAAGGTAAAACCTGACATCTACTTACTTAACTGTAGTTATATATTCTCGATAACCCATTTAGGTGAAATTAAAATGATCTTATCCTTATGTCCTTTGCACCCAATGCCCGTGACAGAAAATGCTCAGTATTCTGGAAAACAGGGCATACTTCAGAGGGAACATCTTGTCAAGACTGTAATTTGACCTTTGACTCAACCTCTCTTGAGTAAATTTTAAATATTATAGGAGAACAAATAGAAAGCCTCAAGGTATAATTCTGCTCCCTCTTCCTCTTAGAACTCTAAGCCAGTCAGAAGCTATTTCAGATATTCAGCTAGCTGTGTGCATGCCTGTCCTTCGTACTTTGGCTGAAAAATAAGATTCATCGCTAGAGATAAAGATTTCTATATAATGCCATCCTCATCCATCTCCCAGAATATTACTCCCTTCTACCTCGTTTGAAGTAGTTGAATCGGTTATAGCCAGAAACATTTAATTTTCCCTCCTCCATACTATGAGAAAAAAATATCTATAATGTTTAGCATAATAAACCTTTCTAACTCTAGAGCCTACTTGAATTTGATGGCAATTAAGGGGAAGAAAAGCTTTGACAACTTTGTAGCTTTTGATTAAACCACACCAAGAGACATGTTCCAGTGATAACAACTAAGCATTATGCCAATTATGTTAAATCCTGCTCCCCGCTTGCTTAAGCTCATCATGACCTGTTTTAGTGTCCAGTAATTTACCCGTTGGAAGGCTTTACTCTCATCAATAAAGTGTTCAACTTACAGAGGAAAATAAAAGGAAATCCACCAAAGGGAACAACCAACCCCAAATGACTTCTAGAAAACAAGTATTTCTTAACTTTTTATTGACATTGGCAAATTAAAATAGAATAAATTAACAAGTATTTTTTCAAAAAAATGTTTTGTACAAAAATACTGTCAAAATTTCCTAAAAAGCTTTCAACACAGTAGTATCTTTTCATGTACTGAATATAACTATTAGCACAGTGTCAAAAATGTTGAAGACAGAAACAAAATAAAAATCTGTGAAATGTTTGCCACTGTCGACATTCCACACACCCTATTATTGTCTGTACATATGGGGGAGGGGGGGGCAGCCAACTTGAAAGTGAACAGTATGACTTTTTCCTGATCCAGAACGGCTTGGCCCGCATCTGTTTAATCTTCCAGTTTAGCATATTTTAAAAATTAAGTCTGTACTCGAATGCATAGTTTAAAAAAAAATGAAGCGAGGTGGCAGAGTTTGTGCATCTGCCCTTCAGAGTTCATGCAACCCACTAATGCAATTTTTCCTTTCATAAATTTGAATGCAGTTCAGTCATTTGAAACCATCTACAGAATCCACAAGATTAAGCAGTTTGCCAAGATTAATATCTAACAGTTGAGCACTGGAGAAAGTGAGGAAATCAAGGAGTAAAAAACAAACAACAACAACATCAACAAAAAAAAGAGACCAAGTTAGCTAGATATTTCAAACTACATACGGGAGGTGAATGTCAAGGCTACAAAAACGAAACAAAAACAGGAGGGGGAAAAAAAAAGTGGCAGCAATTTTTTTTTTAAACCAATTTGTACAAGTGTATAGTTTACTTTGTTTCCAAGTTCTCAGACCTTTCAAGGATTTGAAAAGTTGAGATACTGTGTCTAAGGGAATGTTTTTTGTGTTGTTTTTTTTTTTTTTTTTTTTTTTAATTCACACCGAAGAAGAAGTTGGGAGGGTTTGATTTTTTTTTTTCTTTTCCTTTTCGCCTGGTGTTTCGATCGGAGTCAACAGCTGACTCGACTGGGCTGCTGTTTGCATACGAAGTCCGTCATGAAATCGAATTCATTCTGCCCCAGCCAGAGTTCAGGCAGCTCCTTGATGCGGTCCAAGCCCATCTCTATCACTAAGGACATGAGCACTTCCTCGTCGATGAAATCAGTGTCTATGACATTGGGCGGCAGCATTGCAGCGGGGACGTGGGCCACGGAGGCGGGCATGGAGCTGCCGCCGCCGCCGCTATTGCCGCCGCTATTGCCGCCGCTGCCCGCGCCGCCCGAGGTGCCGCCCGAGCCGCCAGGGGTGCTGCTGCCCCCCGAGCCCGGGGTGGTGCTGCCGCCGCCGCTGTGCTTGGGGGTGCAATCTCGGAAGTGCTGGCTTGTCCCGTTCATCTGGTGGCCTGCAGCGGCCGCGGCGGCGGCGGCGGCAGCAGAGTGCAAATCCGGCATGTAGTGGTTGTGGGGGTAGGGGTGGTGGTTGAAATACTGGTTGTTGAGCTTCTGCAGCTGCATGCTGGCCGGCAGGGAGCCTCCCTGGCTGGCCACCGGGGGGCCCAGGAACTGCGAGTTGTTGAACCGGGCCGCGGGGGCCAGCGCGCTCGCGGGGTGCCCTCCGTTCACAGTCCCCGGCCCCATCGCGTGCCGGATGCCGCCGCCCGCGGCGCTCATGCCGCCCGCGCCGTAGTGTATGTGCTCGCCCATGAGGGCGTTGAAGGCGTGCTGGGGCTGCGGCTGCGGCTGCTGCTGCTGCTGCTGGTGGTGGTGCGGGCTCGGGAACTGCCCCATGCCCATGCGGTGGGCAGGGTGGTGGTGCAGCCCGTTGGTACCGTCGGGGAAGCGCCCGTGGTTCATGGCCATCATATGGTCTGCCATGTCCAGTCCTGCAAAGGGAAGAGGGCAGACGGACGGTCAGACCCGCACGCCACACGTGACGCCCACCAGAGCGCACCCCACTTTTTCTTGCCACTGCTCCACCTCCCCACCCACCAAAAAAAAAAAAAAAAAAAAAAGACCCCGGGACGCACGTCGGCTGCAAAAATCACCATCCCCAGGATCCACCCCCCTGGTAGCTAGCGCTCCGGGACTCGCCAACACGGCGGACGACCTCCTGCCACCCGCAACGGAGGAGCCGGGCGCGCTGCACACACAGCCCCTTCCCCGGCGACCGGGCGGGAGGAGCGGAGCCCACACGCCCCTCGGCTCTCGCTCTCCCTAAGTCGCCTCATAAAGGAAGTGCCCCGCAGCCCCGCCGCGAACTTAAGGGCTTTCAACCAGCCCTCCTCGTCCTGTGGGTTGCACATCCTGTTGTTATTCCCCAGCTCCGCCTCGCGCGCTTCCTCCGGGGCAGACCCAGCCCTACGGAGGGGCCGGGCTGGCAGGCAGGAGCCCCGGCCAGGACCGCCGGGCGCCGGGCGCGCTTACCTTCCGTCTCAGCGGCGATTTCAGCTCCGAAGACCGAGGGCGGGATCGTCGGGTCCAGGACCGGCTTCAGCAGCACATAGAGGGGGCCTTCCTTCCCGGGCGGGCGGGGCGCTGGCTGGGTCGCGCGGGGGTCGGCGCTGAGGTCCTGCAGCGGCGGCCGCGGGGGCAGGATCGGAGCCGCTCTCCTTTATTTTCCCTCCGCTGCCCTCCCTCCCAGCTCGGCGAGACTCAGCCCGGCCGCGGCCAACAATGAGCTGTGTTTCTTAGGGCTTTGGCCACAGTTAATATAAGGAGCTCAGGAAGGGCGGAGCGAGGGCCTCCCGGCCGGGAGGCGGGGAAAAGCGGATTCTGGAACGCCGGGCACGCCGGACCGGGTCGTGGAGCTGCGTCGCACCCCCCCCCCCCTCCTCTCCCCGCGCCTCTCCGCCCCCTTCCCACGGCCAGAAGCAAGTGCACAGAGGCTGCAACGGGGCCGGGGTCCTGCCCCGTTGCACCCCCAGACTCTGGTTTCTCCCCTACCCGCAAATGTGGGGGCGGCCCTGTCGCGCCGGGTACAAGGAGAAAATGCTCCTTGGACTCCTAGCCCGCAGGTATCGCCTTCCCGGAGAGGACAGAGGGAAACTCACCGCGCCCCAGCCCCCCGTACGGCCGGATCCCCCCATCCCAACCTCTTCCACCGGGTTCGCCTAGCGGTGTGGGCTACCTTCTCTGGGAAAAGGGGGTTCTCTCGCGCCCTAGCCCTCTCTAGTGCCCTTCTGCCTCCCCGGTTTTGCAAAAGCTTCCTTGGAAAAGGCTGAGAGGGACGGCTGTGTTTTTCCCTCGAGTGGGGTTTTAAAGCCCGGGACAAATAATGCCGCCGCCGCCCCCGAGCGCGCTTTCCTGGGCTGTGCCTTTGTGGTTTTTTTTTTTTTTTTTTTTTTTTTTTTTTTTTTTGTAGGGGCAGCAGTAAGCTGATTTAGATATACTCCTTGTAGATGCATTTTTTTATTTTTATTTTCCTCCTTTCAAGGACAGGAGCTGGGGGCGGGGAGCGGCACGGGCTGCAGGTGGACCGGGCGCGCTCGGCGGCCCGGCCGCCTCCATTCCTTGCGATGGGGAATCCGGTCCGCGCTTTGGGGCCCGCCCGCCGCTCCCGGGGTACGTGTGCTTCAGCTAAGTTTGCTTTGCAGCTCGCTCTTGGTAGCTTTGGCATCCGAGCTGAGGCGTCTCTGCTCTGTAAACAAACTCAGCGATCCTCGTCCCCAGATCCACCTTTTTGCACATACGCAGTTTCTTGCTTCTGCTGTTGCCCTTGATCCGGGAGGGAGGTGGGGTGTGTGTGTGCAAACTTGCACAGCCTCCCTCTGGGCTCTGCCTGAGGGTTTGGGGTTGATTTAGAAGCGAACGGGTTTGTAATTAAGAAACGCGAAGGCTGCGTAAGGCTGCTGCTGCTGGAAAAGGAAAACAAATAGCACGGTAATCGTTTGGTAAATAAAGTTGTTCTGGAGGTGGACGCGTAGCTGCACGTCCCATATGGCACTGCGCGCGCGCGCGCGCGCACACACACACACACACACACACACACACACACACACACACACACACTCCTGGGACTCTTGCTTTGCAGGGAAATTGTTCGGCGGAGCAATGGGCGATTATAATAACCGTGCTTCCCATAACGTGACACGACTAGCCTGGTCTCCTCTTCGGCTCACTGACTTGCAAATAAAAGCCTTAACTCGGGTCTGGGCCACAACCTCTCTCTCTTGCTAAGTCGGGGAAGCAGAATTGTTTCTCCACCGCCGCGAGGAGGCTGCTGCTCCAAGCCTTTCTATTGCTCTTTATGTGGTAACAGCGAGTTTAGCATGTAGCGCTCCGAATAAGGACTTCTGTTCAGAGTTGTTTCTTCATAACTCTATAGCCATTGAAGACTTCCTGCTGCCAAGAGCCAGTTCCCCACATCCCTTTTCCCCTTACCCCCCCCCCCTTTTTTTTTCTCCATTCGCCTTCACAAGACTTATAGGCCTTATGTCTTGAGAACTGGAAATCCTGATACATTTTTTCCCTTTCAGGAATTTACAAGTGAGACTGAATGCTGTTTATTTTCTATAACCTCTCCATCTTCCATATATCACTGTTCCTCTTTTTTCCTTTTCCAGGCTCTCCAACATGGATGACAGTGTATGCAATAATTTTTATACTTCAAAGATACTTACTTTTTGGAGACTTGTGCACAGAACACATTGCATTGTTGGTTGCAACCATCCCCTATTATCCTCTCCACCCACTGCCTTTTATCTGTAGGTCTTGGATTTGAAGTTGCAGAATCAGAGTCTTAGAAGAGACCTATGAAAAATAGACTCCAAAATATCAACAATTGTCAGATACATGGCTTTCTACCCCGTTGTCAGACAGCAGTGTCTTCAAGGATCAGCTCTTGAATGTCTCCTGGAAAGAAAGATGTAGCTCCATCCGTTCCATTGCTTCCACGTAATATTGGGCAATGCCTTAAAAGGTCACTTCCTCCTTCCCCACCCCATAGAGGGGGAAACATTTGTTCTGGGACTTGCTGTTTAGACCATGGCACGCCTTGTCCATTTATTCATCCATCCAATGAGTGTTTCTCAAGTGCCAGGCACTTTTCCCAGTGCCTGGAGAGACAACTAAGATAGGAACTCATGGTCTGAAGGAGAAGATGAACAAACAGCCTGGGACACATTGTGATCAACGCCACAACAGCATTCGACACAAGGGCTGCTGGGAGCACATAGGCAGGACACCTATCCTGGTCTTCAGGGCCTTGGGAAGGCTTCCCCATGACTGAGTTGAGGCCTGAGGATGTGTAGAAGTGGGGCCACCCCAGGAGGGGGCACAGAGAAAATAGGTTGGAGAACTAAACTGGATCCTGTGGGCTTTGGTCCTCAATTGAGAAATTTAGATTGTATCTTGAAGACAACGGGAGGCTGGTGAAGGCTTGTGGACCAGTTAGATGATCACATTTTTGCTTTAGGATTGCTGGCTGCTGGTCCTCATTGATGTAAGTGTTTGATTGAAACACATCTTTGAGAAGTAAGCCTCCAGCTTCAGCTAATTACCGAGTTGAAGAAAGCTGACTGAAAGGCCCAACTTCAAAAAATATGTGAAAGAATTTATACATGTATGGTGGGGTGGGGGTAGGGTGGGGTCTATGTCTCAGTTTTGTGCTTTACCTAAAGGACTTAAGGTAACACACACCCCAAGGATGACTTTCATCAGTCTAGAAAGGAGAATTTTGAGTCTCAGAGGGTTTTAAACAAACAAACAAACAAACCATGCCCACTTTCTCAGAGGGATGAGTTAAAATGGGAGAGAAAGAAACAGTCAAAGGCAGAGGCTGGTTGGACCCCTTTTCCTCTCCCCCTCCTCCCAACACCTTGGCTCTGGGCCTTAGCTGGTGAGGAAACACTGCTGCCCATGGTCCCACCATTCACTCAGCCATCACAGTGAGTCAGTATTAGAGTGAGTCAATATGACAATGGCCTCTATTTCTGCCTTTTTCATATTTCCTTGTCTTATTATTTCATATTTATGGTATCTGTGATGAAAAGTCCCATATTTTACTGATCTGTGGAATAACCCCAGGTGGAAAATATTGGTGGATTCGTAGTTTCTGATCTAGAAACTATGGATGACCTTTAATGTCAGGGTGATAACATCTATAATAATAAAAGTGTAACATGCTAATTGGACTGGATGTCCTTCCAAGCTCTGGTCCCAGGTGCCAGAGGGAAGCCTGTGCTGGCAGTCAGGGGAAGGAAGGCCTATTCTTGCATGAATTTTGTGCATCAGGCCTCTAGTAGTTAATAAAACAATTGAAAGCCATATATATATAACATTGCATTCTTTTCTTTTTTTAAAAAATATATTTTATTGATTTTGTTCAGAGAGGAAGGGAGAGAGATAGAGAGCTAGAAACATCAATGAGAGAGAGTCATCCATTGAGCTCTATCCATTGAGCCAAACCAGTTCTGGCAACATTGCATTATTTTTGAGTTGAATAAATTATTTTTTACATGTATATGTATATGTCAAAATCATATATATATATATATATATACACACACACACACACACACACACACACACACACACATACTTACTTTCATTACAGTATATTGTTGTATGTTCTTATTTGTTACTAGTGGCCCCGTGCATGGATTCATGCACACTGAAAGGAAATTAATTAGAAAAAATATTTTAATATCGCTATTCACCCTTTCTCTGTAATAGAAGTTTCAACCAAATTCACAGTGGACAATGGCAGATCAAAAAACACGTGTGCGATTGGCGCCAGTGAGTTTTATATGTATCATGCTTGCTTGAGTCAACTTAGCCTTTTATAGATATAGAAGAAACTTGCTTAATTAGACCCGCTTTCTGATTTAGCTAAGCTTTTTCCAGCCCAGTGAAGCACCTTAACTTCTCTTTCAGGT